ATCTATCTAAGACAGCTATCAGCTGGAAGTAAGAACATAATTCAACACATCTTTTGAGTAAGGAAGGTGTAGTTATGGACCTAGAGTCATTAAAAATACAATAAACTTGATTAGTTCCAAAACTCATTTGTTGCGTTTTTAAGCCTATACTGTATGTCTCCATAGTCTTGAAATGAGGTCAGCAGTAGTGCTCAAATCTCCTCAGGTTAAAAGGGAGAAACAGAATTCTGCAATTGCTCTATCATACATAGTCATGAGACTGGATGTTATGCACATATATTCTGTGTCATGTGTTTATTTGAAATAATGCTAATCATTAAACAAATGCTGTATAAGTATTAGCAACTAGCTTGCTAATATGTGTACTTCTAATTAAGCATATTTGCTAAGAAACTGGCAGTCTATATAAAACTTTCTAAACTGAAAGTCTTGTTATTTTTTTACTTACATTGATTCCAGATAATAATTAAAACACTCACTAGATGAACATACGAATGCTTCACTACTAAAATAAGGCTTGTTCAGCTTTTCCACATGAAGATAAATGGCAGGTAAAGAATAGATCAGCTTCCTTAATTAAAAAAAAAAACCTAGGATCATCATCATAAATAGCACAGATGTGATCACAAGTCTTTAAAATGAAATACACTAATGACATGAAATAAAAAAAATAATCCGGGAACAACACTTAGGGTCATTACATTGGTACAGTAATTAGGACATTTGCCTTATATGTTTGTGAAGGCAGATTTCTAATTTCTCATAAGATAGTCAACCTACTGTATCTGTATGCGCAGATTTATCCTTTTTCATCCTTTATCCTTTTATCCTTGCTCTGATTTCCAGAATATTTCAAAGTTAGATTCAAGTTACTGGTACTCAGCTTTGAGGGCATGAAATTGTTTGGATCCTGAAAAAAAAATATGAACAGGTAGCCCCCTCCAACACCTACAAGTTTTCTGAACTCTGGCCATTTCCAGTCCTCTGTACGAGACTCTGAACTCTCGAAGGCCATGGTGTATTGAACTTTCCGCTCTGTCACTTTCAGTCCCTGTCTTTAAGCTCAGATCAGATTCTAATCAGTCTGTGACTGCCCACAGCACGGCACATCTTTTCTAGCTCCCCTCTCTCCACCCCAGCTGCACCCTTGCAGAAGCTCCCTGCTTCATTCCTCATGAGGGCAGTTGCTTTCCACAGCAGGCAACTTAATACCAAAGCCTTAAGTTCTCTGTCTAAGGTCATTTTTTTCATTTCATCATACTTAGAATTTGACTGAACTACTGAAAAGAAGTTCCACACATAGCATTCTGGGTAAGGATGAAAAACTACTGCAAAACAAAGGATTTCATCAACTAATGCTCATTCCCAGGAAACTGAGGGAAATATCATAATTCCTTTTTTTCTGTTTTGAACAAATTATTGAACCATCATTTAAGAATCATAAAATGAAAAACAGTAGGAAGATTAAGAGTGGTTAACATCACTTTCAATCTGACTTATGTTATCATGTTCCAGGTTGTCAAGTTTTCAGTTGCCTAAAGCTAAAATTTGTAAATATGTTACTCACTTTCTCATGAAAGGGAGTTGTAAGTACTGCATCAAAACAATGATAAATGGAACATTATTGCTGTTGAGATTTTAGCCTTGCCAGTCATGGAAAACAAAACAAGCAGATCATTACAAAAGAGCCAGCATTCAGATAAATAATGTAGAAGACTTGTTAAAGATTCAGAAGAGTAACCAGTTACACCAATGGGCCTTGCTGGCTTAAAATGTCTGTTTCGGAAGGAAATAATAAGATTGTGTTATTAAACGTAAGGTTTCCATGCACGGAATTTATTTTTCTATTAATCTATTTTGGCTTACAACTATGAAAGAGAAATGTAAAAAGTACTCTTGACATGAGCAGCATTCTTCATACACAACCTTTGCCATAATAGGTGGCAAACAGGGAGAAAATGGTAAGACACACCTAAAAGAAAGCCCAGCCCAGAATTTGTGCAGCAGTAAAATACAAGTAACCTTGATGCTTAGAGATGTGAGCAGTCCAGCAACAATAACCTCATCAGTCTGCCACTGCTTTCTCAATATTTTAGGCAGGGGTCAGACAAACATACAGTAGATGTTCATTACCTTCCCAGCTGATCAGGTGTTGTGTCTGTTCAGATGCTCTTAATAATTTTCACTCAACTCTTTTCAGAGTACTTGCACTATGGGGCTGCTGTTTCCCAGACCTTCCGGTGATCAGACTAGTCCCGCCATCCCTCAACTTTTTAGTGTATAGGTGTATGACAGCTTTGCATTCTTGCCTTGCTAACTCTCAGGAAATGGCAATGGGCCTGACCTGCTCATCCCTGCTGCAGCTGCTGCCTTTGCAGCTGCCGCTGCCGAAACTCCACCTTGTCGCTGCTTTTCTCTGGGAACTGCTGAAGAAAAGGAGTGGTGCCCTTCCAGCCCTGCCTGGGCTGGCGCCGTGACTCAGACTCCACACTGCCTTCTCTCCGGCCGGTGGAGCTGTCTGGTACTGCTGGCTGCTGCTCAACAGCCACTGGTGCCAGAACGGAGCCTCCCCGGCCACTGCTGGGACGAGCAGTAGCAGTGGACTGAACCGGGCCAGACTTCTTACAGTACGATTACTGCCTTCCAGACACCTTTGTGCTCAGAAAGGGACTGACAGCTGCCTGCTGAATTAATTTGCCTCTCCAGAGACCCAGGTCCAATACCATGTGCTTCCCATACTAACATTAAGCACCAATATAACCACACAGAATTGGATCCCGTTTACTGGTGAATTGGATAATTGGCAATTGGTTGTTACTGCTGATTTCTTTATTGGAAAGAGAAACACTGCATGTGAAAAAATGCCTTTCTTTTACTGATTTTTCTTTCTCTCTGTTTCTCAGGTGCCAAATAACCGAAGCAGAGCTGAAGCCTGAAAAAGAAAGGAAGTCGTTTCTCATGAATCACTGAAACACTGGACGCAAGCGGGAAAGATCTGAAGTGGAGGCCTTGGCAGTGGGAGACGCGCATGTGGTGGGTCAGTAAGGTGTGTCTCTATGCCAAGCTGTGGCAGTAGACAGCCATGCTCACCATCAAAAGACCATACAGAGGAGAACGACACATTTGACCCAAAGAGTAGTGTATTCTCTCAAGTTCTGCAGCGTCACTGAGCTATTTTTCTAGACTTTCACTTCTACTTCAAAATTACGAGGCACCACATTTCTCAAACAGTTGCTCAGGAGGTCTGCAGGCCAACCACATCACTGAAGCTGCTCCTGTGGCATCAGGATGTGGACCTGAGGGTTGCGGATCAGTCAACTAGCAGCAATCAATCAAACAGTGGGGCCATGTGGCCACCTCTCGTTTGTCATTCTGCTTATAGTCTTATTTTCTAGAAGTAATTGAGCAATCAGGCTTCCTGTGTGACCCTCAGCCCCTATTTTACTTGTACTGGGCACATTTTGCATTGCACCTTCTATAGTTTGCACAATCTGGGGATTGTGATCCGATCATTCTAGCAGTGTGCAAGTGTAATGAATCGGTTGCAAAGCTCACAATAAGCACATATTATACGGGACCATCAATAAAGTCTGATGAAGGCAGTTAAACAGGGACACTTTTATAAGACGGTAAAAAATGATTTTTTAAATACAGTCTTTATCAGTGACTGCCTAAGAGGTTCTGTATTGGACATGATAGTAAATGACTGAATCAAGGATTCAAAATGGTGACATCCGATCCAAGGAGATATGGAAGGATTTTGTTACAGTTTACATTGTACTTCTGTGTCTTGCAGATCGCCCTGATTAATTAACTGGTTTCGTTTTTAATTTTCCAACTGTGAAACTCTGTAGACGCATCGGCCACACTGACAGATTAATATTGCATAGGACCCACGTTTCATAAAAAAAAAAACTTTATGGCATTCAACTACGGCAGATGGACTGAGCGATAAAACGGGATTTGGCAGCCACGAGAAAATAGTTGGGTTTCAATTATTTCTCTATTTATATTTCTATTATAGCGAGCTAAAGTGAAATTACAGTTCGGTTATTTAAAAAAAACTGTAAAGCGACTAAATGTTTAAAAACACATTATACTTAATTGAGCGGGTGCGAAGCAGGTACACTGGGAGAGAAAAAAAAAGTGATCAAACCAAATCGTTGTTGGAACATCCAGGCAATCTCGGTTATTCTTATCGGGGAGAGTACTTGAGAGGGTATTCTGTTCCTAAATTACGTCGTTAGTGGATAACGCTGTTGGCAATTTCCTTATTTCTCCCGTCGATGTCATGCCTTATCGGGAGTGATAGCTGAGTCCTGTGTTGATGCAACCCAGGAGGCAGAGAAAAGTCCCCCGATTTGAGGCGGCGCGGATGCCTTGCGAGAGCGTGTGCCGACGCGCTACAGACCCCTACAGTCTCCAGTCCTCTTCCAGATTCCGCTGGGACCCGATAAAGTTACAGTGCCACCACCAAGGCTGACCGGCGCTCCCACACATCGCCGGGCTCTTTTCCGAGATCCACACACACCAACAACAACAACAACAAAAAAAAAAAACCCACGCCGTTGTGCTGTGCGGTGTTTTATTCTTTATGATCTACCTTCATAATTGCCTTGTTTTTTAACATATCAGCCGGATACGTCCACAACAGGTCGGGCAGTTAGTTTACTGTACATGTGAACTCGGTGAACTAAAGAGGAACTAATCCGACTGACCTGTACTAAACGGATTACATATATGGCAAATTATACAATGAACGCACAATGCTCAAATGCCTACCCGGGGAATATAGGTTAAGAATATCATTGTGCGGTGCATATTGTATTTTAATGGTTGGGGCCAACTACAGAGCGCTCTTAGTCTGCTGCTCATAGCGCCCGAATATTATATACGTTACTTCTGATTGTCCGCCGGCTTTATCAGCTCGGCTGTGACAAAAAGGCATTTAGTGCAATGCTTCTTTCATTAAAATACTTGGGAGATGTGATCCCGCCCCTTTTCAAGAGTGAAACTGATTATTTCACCCCGCAGTGGAACAGGGTGAGGGAGAGACTCGGTTAGGATTGTGGGAGAGGAAAGGAGCACAGATCTCAACATCATCATCATCACCAGGCATTCCTCTTAATCCTTCCTTCTCCAGATACAGCCGGGGAACGAAACACGCGCGCTCCCCTTTTTCCTTAAGACACTGTCATTTCCTCATCGCTTCATGCCAGACCAGAGACCGGCTAGTTTTTTGTTATCATTTCAGAGCTACTTTTCACGTTGTTCACTTGAGTTGTGTTTCTGCTGTGCTGGATTAAGAGAGTTTTTGTGAGCTCCCGGCGTAGGGGAGAAGGCTTTAACGCTGTTATCAGCTGGAGGAGACAAGCGAAGAGATCGCCTTCTGTACGCAGACTCTTGCCGAACTGGTTACATGCACCACAAAGTAAGTATTAAGCTGTAACTGTGTCATCTTCAGTTTTCCGTAGCGCTTAGTGAAATGAGAACGCGATTTGGTCGATATGAAAGAGTTTGGTTTACAGCTGCGATGTCATTTTGACACCACCGGCGAAGTTCTGCGCGATTCTAGCCGAGCTTCTTCGGCGAAAGTTGTAAATAGCCTTTTGAGACGTTTATCTTAAATGCTCCATCTCTCTTTGACAATTAGAACTTTATTTAATTAGTACGCCACGCACCACAAATAGCCCTTTTGTGCGTCTAAAACGGGAATCGGGGTCTGACTCGTGGTTTTGTTTGTATTTTACAACTGCGTTGACCTTGCAGTACTGTAGTTGGCTACCACGGTTTTAAAACATTTAGGCGTCTGCATTAAAAACGGAAAATATATGCCATTTGTGTTTTTACCCGCCGTCATTTTCATTCTTTTACAAACCTTAGTATTTTTTTATTACCAAATTTACCAGGGGGGGAAAAAGTAGTATCGTACTGTATATACAGTACAAGTCGTGGAGTTTCAACTGCGTTTTTATTTTGCGTTGTTTCCTCCTGAAGCACATTAAAAACTTGTGTTCTGCCGGACGGTTCAGTCATACATTTGTAACAATATATAATTTCTGAGAAATTTAAAACCCATTATCATCATCATCATCATCATCATCTTCTTTTTATGGGTTCATATACACATTTTATTCAGATATTTTAAACAGACAGATCTTGTTAGCGGTACTACAAAGGCACACTTAACATCCACGTTCCTCCGACAGCGATTTACAAAAGTTGTTATTTTTTGGCTTGCCTTTTTAATAAGGCCCGCGCACCCACACTTTATGTCAATTTACTTGGTCAGGTCCTCATTATTTTTCTTCTTATTCCAAAGAGAAACGCCTCTGCCGCTGTGTGTATAAGATGTTGCACAAGACAAACTGGGTAGATAATGTTTCAAGTGTAGCCCTTTTTTAAGAGCAGGTAATCATATTAAACTGCTTTGATGCACAAATACCAGGACTCGGGAGAGCTGAACAGGATTGGGCAGGGTGCCAGTGTTTTACTGTAGGTCTGTGGAGAATTACCTTGGCAAACGAAGCCTTTCGACATCATGAACTTGATGGTGGATTTAATGATAGCAATTTAAAGAACTAAAGTTACTCTGTTTTCTTACTTGCATTAAATGGGAAACTAGGTGGCCAGTACTTCGAGTTGTGCCCAGGCAGAAAAGTGACCAGTTATGTTGTTGTTGGCACTCTGTGCTGGGTATTGTGGTTGCAGAGTAAAGATGTTTATACGGACTATAATAACTGTAATCCCTGGAGGTTTGGCAAAAGCCATCGAATTCTAAGCACCTGTGAACCATTGCTACCCTCTGAGATCTATCCAGCTCTACTACTGATTATATAAACTACTGGACTATAAAATATCATGTCTAGTCCTTTTTTTCCTCCTTCTTACTCATTTTTGGTCTTGCAAATCTCTAAAAACAAAAACTGGCCCCTCAGATATCTTTTATAAAAAATTACACCTGCAAAACAAACAACAGTTGGGGAGCTCCATTCTTTAACTCCGTATTGAGATCTATTTATATGTTCCTGATTTTTGTCAGCTAAAAACATGAGGGGTTAGACTGACTAAAGCATGCTTTCTAAATAAATACCTTGATCACAGCACCGCTTCTGAAGTATAATTTGCAATATTTTAGAATGCCTTAAAAATCTGTCAAATATCCATCGGCAGATTGTTTCTAAATCAGGCAATTAAGAATTGACTAAAAAAAGTTTACTAAGATTTTGGTCTGGAAACTGAATTCAGTGAACATACAGACATTTTAGAAGATAATTTAAGATATTTATTTATACTTGATTTGCAGACATTTCAGAAACAAAGTAGCTATGCTGTATTTTATTTTATGCTTGTTGTTAATTGATCTCAAATTACCTTCCATCAATATGGAAGTGTTTGTTGAATCTAGTCCTAGCAAAGACAGGGCACGCTCGAGACGAGTATAATTCATGGTTTGAAAAAACGGCACGATTTGTGCAATTTTGATGTTAAAACTTGTGTGTACATCTGACTTATTAGTCAGGATCAAATGAGCACAACAGATTACTGATCTCTGGTTTTCAACTTTGGGGCCCGTGAGTTATGTGGAGTACCGAAAGCTGCAGAAGCTTAAACTTTTCTTCTGATATCAGTGTGGCTTTCCTCCCAAGAAGGAAAAAAAGAAGTGCCGAAAATTCCACGTTGTTTAGCCCAACAGTTGCCTGTTGCTCCTGAAGGATTTATGGTAATCTCCTTAGATTTGAGGTGAATGCACTAAGCGTGGACTGTCAATTACACAGGAGTCTTCAGTTAAGCACTTTAATCTCAGAGTCACACCGACTGCAGCACGCAGCTTTTTTTGTTCTCTGGAGCTGTCACCTTTGGGAAATCACTGGATCTTATAGCCGATTCACAAAACCAATAGTGACAACAGTCTTATGTGCCTTACAAAAGAGGGATTAGGTGCTTCACGTGCCTTTCTGATTGGCTGAAGACTTGAGCGGATTGCAGGAGCAGGGCATGGCACTCTCTGGGCTCAATTGATTTTTATAAAAGGAGGCAGTATCCCTGCCTCTTCCACAATATCAAGTGTAACCCGAAACCGGTGCCCTCATTAAAAGAGTATGTCGCTGTCTTTTAGCTTCTGTGTCTTGTATTTGTCAATGAGAATGCTAGCACAAAACAAAAAGAAGTTCAAGCAAACATTTGCAAAGGTTTTGTACAGATTGGTGAAAGTGAAAGTCTTTGAAAAGTGCCCCAGCATTCTGGCAGTGAAAGAAATTTGTGGCAGTTTTCCTATACATTGAAGCCTGGCATTAAAGTTTGAGATTCTAACAGTGTTGTGGGGTAGAACCAAATTCAGTCTTTGACCTAACATTTCTTAAACATCTTCATAATCCGGAGACTTAATTCAAGCCCGCCTGACTTTTGAAGCTTTGTTTTTAAATTAGGTGCTGTAAAACAAAACTAAAAAGGAGAAGGAAACTCTTTATAAAGATATATGAATGGTTCTATATATATGATTTATTTGTGAAGTGTTACAAGTCATAGACGGTTTTGTTATGTGAATATCTAAGTGCAGCTAGTAAAAACAATTGCAGTAATCAATTCAAATATATTTTATGTGTTATCTACGTGAACATTAAAGTGGGTTTCTTGGTCGTAACTGTGAAATACTGAAACCAATCTGTAATTTCACTGAATCTGCATTGCTTTCATTAGCCGATAGAAATTCTTGGAGATTAGGTGTGTGTGAGTAAAAAGCGTTCTTAAGGTTTTGCTGTTTTTGTTTTTCTATTACATTTCTTAGAAATAATATTCAATTTACCTCACAAAATAGTTATAATAATATTCTGTTTAATGCGCTAATATTACAATTAATTATACTTGTTAGAACATGCATTGGTGTGCTTATTTTGTTGGTGATTTTTAAAATACCCTATTTTATTTTCCATGTTTAAATTACTTTCTTCTCCATAGAAACAGCATGTTTCTTATTCTGCGGTGGTTTGTGTATATTTTTGACAGTAATAGCTGTTTTTAAGGGTTGTGCATGCAGAGGCAATCTTGCTTTTCCCTGCTCGTGAAGTTAATTTTAATTTATCTGTCCCGTTTGAATTGTACAGCAACATTTTACAACACACATGAAAACTGTCCCTCACAGCTTGCCCAGATGAAAACAATTATATTTTTGCTGAAGATAGCTCAGTAGTCCTCTCGTTTAGTTGAAACAGCTTTGTAGGCAGGTGTTACTCTTGCTACTGTTAATATGAAGGCAGTCTTGTACAGGACCTTTTATTGTTGTACTAACAGATGCACAAAGACCACCATAAAGGAGCTATGAATAAAGGACAATCATCTGTTGCATTATTACGTTTCTTATAATAACAACGCGTACAATAAGTGCTGACAAAGCCTTCAAGCATTCGTCAGTTTTTTTGTTTCAATGATCATTTTTCCTCATGTTGTTTTGGAACTGCAGCACAAAGGTCTTGTTTAATTTCAGACCTTTTGTTTAGGAAAGGTGAAAACTGTGGAAAAATTATTGTAAAAATAGCTGAAATATCTTCTCCGACTGTTCTTTTCATATTTTATGTTTTTAATGCACAGTTCAAACAGAACGACTCCCTCTGTATTTAATAATTAGTGCTGATGTTCTGTAAGTTTTATTCCACTGATAACTGGAGGAGGATTTGTGTGCTGTAGTCACCAGGGCATTAAAGAAGGCGGCAGAATATTTGTCTTTGATCTTTAATTGCAATTGTGTAAGAATGTTACTCTCTTTGCATTAACTGCTGGTTGTGTTTGAAACCGTTGTATTTGTGTAAGTGGTCTTTTCTCCTTTTGTCTCAGAAAGGAGAAGGACGTAAAAAAGAAGGAGAACATACAGCAGTCTGCCGGGTTTCATTGAAAGGACCAGCGTCATGCATCTTGGAAACTCAATCAAGCAGAGATAGTTTCGATTCAGAATTGACAGGGCAAGCAGCAGGGCCAGCTCTGTCCTTGTGCAGTTTAAATGTGTTGATTTTACTCAGAATGTGAGAACTGATGTGTTACAAATGGTTGGAAAAGGTGAACAAGCCTGTTGTCAGATTTGATCTTTAGGCCAGGCTGAGTTGTTGGGTGGTCTAGAGAGAAAGACCTTTTGGCTAGTCACCATTAGTTTATATCATCAGCTGTGGCTGCGCCAATAGACACCAGAAACTGGAGCATCTGGATGAGAATGTAACGTTGATTTCCTGACTTGGTTGTCTGAAGCGAGGGTGCAGAAGAGAAAAAGATGATGATTGAAAGGGCAGGAAAAAATAAAAATGTCTTCGATTTTCTGTTGGTAAGAGGGAGCCTTGCAGAATCCATGGAAAAGAACGGACCAAAATTGTATTTTTTGCATTCATTTTTCGTTCTTAGAATTGCTCTTTGTCGAGATGTAATAACCAAAAAATATATATTTTC